ATTTCTAAATCTGCACCTATCCATACAATTTTGTATATGCAACTGTCAGGCAAATGAATGCCTTCTTTTTTGTCAATGCTAAGTGAACCCCTACAACCCATTCCCTTTAACCCACAATACTAATGTTGTATCCCAGAGACACAATGGTAGCCTGATACCATTTTGAAAGGGACCCTTTTTAGACCAGTTCACTTGACACCTGTGTAATGCAGAGGTTTAACTAACCCCACATGCCTACTCATTTCTCTAATTACCTTTGCCATGCACAGTTTGCCATTATGTGAGTACCCAGAGAGTGTGGGGGTAGCCAGAATAGTTAACAAACCATTCAACAATATTAAAACATCCAGCATAAACCTGGTACTTGTGGGGTGACATGAGAGGAATGGTTTAATTTGAGAGTCCTGCATTGAGCAGGGGGTTGGACCCAATGGCCTTCTTGGCCCTTCCAACTCTATTATGATTAACCACCCACACATGCAAACCCGGTCTCTGTGTTGTTCTGTTGTGAGCAGCTTTTTAAACCATCTGCTGCTCCTGTGATAAAGTAGCTCTACCCTATCGTTGTCAGACTTAAATTTCTGGCCAGCACTGAAAAAATGTTTGCAAATTCTTGATCGGTGTCTTCTTGAACTATTGGTGATCAAAATTAAATATATTCCTGTGTTTTTTATTTTTAAAACTAAATGGACAGTGATTAATAATAAACCTTCCTCTCCAGAAATGTCCACTTAATATTCATGAGAAGAGTAGGTATATTTTTTCTTCAAACCATATGTTTCTATATTTGTATTGAAAATACTACCCATACATATTTGTACTTTTAGAGTAAAAAATGAATTTCACTTCACAAGGTATGCTGTTGGAATTTTTCTGAAAATCCCTATTAAGTATAATTGCATACTGAATATTTTATGCAGGGTACAACCTCATTTTTCTGTATAGCCTGAGAGACAGTCAGAGCCATTCAGTTATCAGTAGCTTGCCAACATATGTGTGCTGTTTACAAATGTTATAGTATAATGGGTCTACCTAGAATACACAGACCAGCCAAACAACATGTCCTGGATAAAGGGGGTGGGGGAATGAACAGACAGAAAAAAGAGAATGACACTGACAGCAAATGCAGAGACCCACATAAAAGTACTGGTGGAGAACTGTGGGCCTTACTCCAACACATGAACATAGGGGTCTTGGTCCCAGAGCAGTTCTTACTTTCCAGAACTGAGCTAAATCCTATCATAACAATGCAGGGATAGAACAGCTGTCCTGTCCATAACAAAGATTTGGCAGTGCCAAATCTTATAAACTTTCAGCACTCGGTAAAGATCTGTTTACCCAGGCTTTTGATTAGATTTTCCTCACTTATCCTTTGCTGCTATATATAAACTGTTATTTAATTCTTACCATTCTCCCATTTGATTACACTTTTCATCAATGTTGTATTTTGTTTTACTGTTTATACCCCATTAGGGAATTATTTTATAATGAAAAATAGATAAGAAATTTCTTGCATGAATAAATAAAACTTGCAGTTTATCACCAGAAGTTTAGAACTAGATGCTTTTTTTTGTCTCTGTGCCAAAAATCCCAACCACCATTTTCAGACAGAGAATGCACAGATACAAGAAAACTGAAGCAGTACATGAATAAAATTCTCCCAACATCCTGTGAATAAGACATGGTGGGATGGCACTTTGTAGAACAACCCAGTGTGGTCGACAGATAATTACACTCACTGTGGGTTGTAATTCCCCTCCCTCCTCCAGCCAGTATCCCATTGTCCTTGACAGAAGAATCTGGCTTGTTTCGCTGCTCCTCAGCAACTGCTACCTGTTTTTGTTCACTGCCTTTTTTCTGAGCGAGCCTCAATAACGTGCAACTGGGGTTGTTTCTTCTTCAGCCCCAGAAAACTGTCTGGCTGTGTTTGTACTTTTTTCCTTACTGATAATTTAGAGGTGTGGAAATACACATATACAGATGTCCGATATATATAGCCTTGTCATGAATGCATATGTCACTGCCAAAAAAAATCCTGAATAGCCCTGTCAAAAACACTGTTTTAAAAGGAAAACAGAGTTTTGACAGCTAGCTGTCAAAGCTGCTTGCTCCCATAACTGGGGTGGCTCATAATTTTCCATCTTCTGAAGCACCTAGAATCTTGCAAAAGTAGAAAAGCATGAACAGCCTGATGTAGAGATGGGACCTGCTTCTCCCAGAGACTCTTGAATCTCAAATGGAAGAAGAGACAGGGTTGGAATTCTTGGATGCAATGTCAATTTCAGAGAGCCTCTAGATAAGCCAAGATGTTCATGAGGACCAGTCCATCTCTGGTTCTGAGGGATATACTGTTGAACAGGCAGTGCCAGAGAGGGACATGTGTAAATACATTGTCCAGCATATGTAACATACATCATCCAGTGTCATATCAGAACTGCAGATCAACTCAGTAGTGTGTGGCATTCCTGCCATCTGGCCCACAAGAAGCAGGAACCTCTCAGAGGTAATTCCACTTGATTGAAAAGGAAGATGCAAGATACAGTTTGGAACCAACTTCCTAGCTTGACTGGCAATCTTTCCATTTGGTTAGCTTCCTACTTTGACTGACCTTTTTTGCTAATGACCTCTGCAATATTCCTTTTTTGTCACAAAGCCAATTTGGCCAGCCTACTTTAATGTAAAAGATCGCACTTAGAAGCCTCTTAATCTTCTTGGAAGGAGAAGAGGGAAGGGGCAAGAGTGACATCTGAAATCTGTCAGATCCACCAAAACCCAAAACCACTACAAAGGGGATTATCTGCTTGCCACTCCTTTCTCCAAGCAAAAAAGATATTGCCTATGTCAAGTTTCTGCAAATGAGCACCTGTGCAAGTTGATGAAAAGTAATAGAAAATAAATTGCTGAAAAATTTGTGCAATTTTTTGTGAAGAAAAAGGAGGTAACAGCACCTGTGAAAGTACCTCCAATGTGCCATATGGGTATTCTGAAAGGGCTAGATATCAGCTCTGAGATCATGAACAGTGATTTCTGGGGCAAAGTTACAAAAAGCATAAAAGGGCTTATGATTATGGGGGGTAGAAGAGACATGGTGGCTTTAGTTGTCAAGTTCTCTGTGATTCAGGGTGCAGGATCAAGGTGGGGGACAACCCATGATGAGCCCAATCATCTGCTATGTGTACTATGGATTCTGCAAGCAACCAACCCACCACCGGTTATTGACAGGGTGGGTAAGTGTAACAAGTAAATTCATCCTATATCTTTATCCCAACATTATAACCTTGGAGGTGCTGTTTTACAGATAGATGCCTCCTACCAGGGATTAGTTTCCCATTCCTAGAGACTATAACGACTGAAAAAAACTTTTCATATGAAAAGGCTCAGTTTCATGCCAGTAGAAAGATGCTCTTCAAATTGTCCTCTATGCAATCATGCACTAGGGAGTAGATACAGGTGGCCACAGCTCACAATTCTCAAGGAAGTGCTATAAAGGATGGAGGAGAAGCAAACTCTCCCCTTGTACATAGGCAGAACCATCTTTGCATGGAATGCAGTAAATGAGCAACCACTTTAGCAACTTATAATTGATGATGGCGTTCCTAGAGCAGACAAGAAGAGTGGCTCATTTGATTATTCTGAGGGCCCTTTTTTTCTTCAGGGACTTCAGTGAAGTGCTCCTGCTTAGGATTCTAACCAGCCACACCCTCTTCCAGGATATCTTATTTCATTCTACTCCCGACTGGTTTCCCTCTCTCCTCCAACTGCCAGCTTTCGGTACCAACTGAACATACTCTGTTCTCACTGGCCTTTTTGTATATTCTTCTTGTACTCTCCATACCTCACAATTGTTTTTGTACTTCTGTAACTTCCTGGTTGAGCCAGACAAGATAATACCTCTCTCTTGTGTATGAATGGTCGTATTTTGGTTACATAATTCAGAGAAGGTGAACCCCAAATTATGACCGTACTTTCCCTGTGCCATGTTCCCTGTTCCAGAATGAACATTTCCCTATGAATGCTTTTTTAAATTTTTCACAAAATAGGAATAGAACCTGGTGCAGTTATAAGCAAAGCTATACAAGTGGCATTCAGGAAGTCTGTCTCTGGTAAGATGCCAAGACTAAATTTTGCCTCTCTTGGCTTGTACACAGAAGCTTGTAAAATATGGATTTTTCACCTTAAGACATAAACATACAATGAGTTTTAATATCTCCTGTTGGGACTGACAACTTGTGGCCCTCCCAGTGTTGGCCTACAGCTATTATTTTTTCTTACCATTGGCTTGGTGGCTAACACAGATGGGAGCTATAAGCAAAAACATTAAGAGGGCCACAAGCTGACCACCCCCTCTAGTCCTTAGATACCTGGCAGACTAGCAAGATATTTCTGGTTCACATGCAACCTTACTTTGCTCTTACAAAATGTTGAGAGATGCTGGCCACATTTTAGGTCTCAGAGCTTCAACTATAGACTGCTTCTTAGAAGATAACTGATGTAACTCAATTGTTGTTAGAGACTCAAAAACTCTTTGGAAGGCAAGTTAACAAGCATAGATTCCACTGGGCAGTATCTCACAAAAAAGAAGATACAAGTTCCATAGGTCTTTAATTTTTTATGCAAATCCAGATATTCAAATATTGATTTCCTGTGTCAGAACTTGTGGCACACTGCTATTGCATCTTCCATGGGAGGTTGCAGCAATATACATGTAAGGAGTGGAGATGTTACCTTTTCGGCCTCTTTGTGATTCTAGCATCCCAAAGCTACAGACCTGATAGATGCAGTCCAAAGTACAGGACTGCACAAAGGCCCAGAAGAAAAACCTGAAATAATTTGCAATATATCAGTAATGGTTCTTAGAAAGACCACAACTGTGCACCAGAGCAATTCAATCCTGGGATCAATGGCAAGTTCATAGTAAATAGATGAAATAACATACAACTGTAAGACAGAAATGAATGCCAAATGCAAGAAGCTCAACACATTTTAAGTGAATTGACTACCTGATAGCTTCATGAGAAGTTCAGATGCTGCTTTGACTGACATGTCCTGCTGCAACATGTTTACTGGCACTTCCTGTGCTTTGAGATTCTCTTCGGGAACACTTGCAGCAGATGTTTCAGGTTCATGGCTGAAAACGTAACTGGATTTAGGCAAAGTGGAGCTCACATTTTCCTCATCCTTAGGTTCATCTTTCACTTTGAATGTAGGAGTCAAGGGTTCTTTTTGATTTGCAGCTGTTAAGAGAGAGGGAGAGAGGGACTGAATGGAATATATAAATTCATCATTAGAAAGCAGCAACACCACAAGTGCAATCCAAAACATGCCAATAGGTGAGGAAGGTGTAGGGTAGGAAGCTACACAGACAACCAAACTGGGCAACGTTTTGGAGATAAATCAACTACTGATATATTTTTACAACAAAATTTTCATAAGCATCGACATAAAATTTCAAAGCCAGGAGCTACCATACTTCTAGCAGAGTTAGTAGACATCCAGACAGAAATGGATTACAGAATATTATAAAGGCTAAGTTGCCTTAGCAGAAGTGTGTAAGGAAAGTTGAAAGTTTAGGAAAGCAAATGCAAATAGAACAATAGAGTAAGAAAAGGGTGAGGAAAACAATGAAAAGATTCTCCAAATAGTAAAATATTGCCCCAGGCAGATGGGTTGTGTATGATTTGGCAATCAGATTGCTTTATGTTTAAGAAGAGTCATCAGTGCATGTATGTTTCCAAGATATGGTGAGGGAAATGGTCACCCTCTAAAGTAGTATAAAATAAAATATGAAAAGGTTACAATAGTCCTGAAATGAATGGAGTTATGTCATTTCCTGTGACAGCCTGGGTAAACTGGGGTTCATGAAAGATAACTGACCAAACCACAGAAACTATTGCCATAAACACCCTTGACCTGACAAGGAATTTAATTTCTGCATATACAAAATATATTGCATTTAAACTTTGAGGAAAGTGTAATCTTCCCACAAGAGAAGAAGATTCTGGATTGTCTAGGACAAATGAGCAATAACCTATCATTTATTGCACCCTAAACCCTATTATAATTGTGGCTCTAGCTGAGTGTCTGAGAGGCCATAGCATATTTCAGAATCCAAGGTCAGAGATGAGAGATAGTACTCCAACTTCAGAGGTGAGAATCAGAACTCTGGTCCCTTCCCTTTGAACCCTGCGTGGAAAGGATCGCACCACCTGCCCTCTGAGATTGTGAAGGTAATCTTGGAGAGGGGACGAATGGGCATTCCATTCCATAACCAAAAAAGGGAGGTGACTAGATGAGTTATCTGGAGGCTTCTCCTTTTCGAATGCTATTGCTAAACAGACAAAAATGCCTGTCTAGCAAAAATAAATGTGGGAGGATGCTGCTCCTCTCACCCGGCATAGGATGAGCATAAGCCTCCAAGTCTGAGGACTTATAATTGCAACTCTGCCTCATATGAATCCACCAGAGTCCTTTGATCAGATGGTCAATCACAGAAGTCAAACATTCAAGATAGTTAGTGGTTAGACTGATTTAATTTCCATTCATTAAGTGGGTCTGTTTGAAATAGAGCTAACATTGGATATAACCCAGTACTAAGGGTGTGGGAGCTAGATCTGCTTTTAAAATATCACTATTAGTTAACAAAGGGAGCTCTGCAGGTCCATGAGAGAGAGAAAAAAAACCCCAAAATCTACAACTGGACAATACCTTTCATAGGATCAACCAAAATGCTAGAAGAGAATGGTATTTTGGATTGGTTCTAATAAAGGTATTGCTCAACTATGGATTTGCTTTTGTTTTTACTAACTGTTTTTCTACACTGCCCATATCCACTGCTAGTCAGTGATGAAAAAGATAAACTAAAGGGGACAAGGACAGAGAAAGATAAAGGGTTATAACTTGGTGAAGAGCTGTGGCAAGGTGTCAAGTGTGAGCTACAGAAAGCCGTTTGAGGTGAGGCCAGGCCAAAGAACACACAGAAATGCATCAGAGGCAAGAGGACTTTGTAGTTCAGACAATAGTATCAACCTAAACAGGAAACTTTCTATAACTCATCCTATCAGAAGGGTCCAGTGATCTGGCTGGGTGCAAAGGGCCAGCCCAGAGTCTGAGAATGCTTCACTACCCTGAAAATGTTCCATGGTCCAATTCCAATAACTCACTGCATGTGGCGGCAACCTACATAACTTGGAGATCCCCAGTTCTAGCCTCAAGTAGCAACCAACAAAGAAAAACAAAGCATGTTGTATGTATGTGTGTGCATGTAAAAGGGTAGCACTGTAAAAGAATTTGCTGATTCCTCCCTCTTCCTTCTCCAGCTATTTCATGCACATTAAACAGGCACTCCCTTCATTGCTGTTGCAAAACAAAATGGACAGCCATTTAGGAGAATGACCATACTACTTTATATCCACTCATAACAATAAAATAATTTTAATAGTTGGAAGCTTCTTGAATGTTTTTATGACTTTAGATTAGCCTTCCCAAACCTGGTGCCTTTCAGATATGTTGGACTACAAACCCATAATCCCCACACAGTATAGCCACTGGCCATTCTGACTGGGCATAAATGTACTCTAATACATCTGGAAGGCACAAGTTAGAAAAGGCAGTGTATTTGTAGAAATAAATAAGCAAGCTGGACAGGTAGTAACTTACATAAAACACAGTACAGCATATAAACAACATTAACATCATATCTCTGAAATCACAAAGCAATCAACACAATCAGAAAAGCAAATAAAGCACTTCCCTATACCCTAAAAGCTTGCCTACATAATAAAAAAAATCTTTAACTGGTACATAAATTGTATACCTGGAAAGTTATCAGAGCATAGAGCTGTGTTATCAGGTTATCCTACTGAGGTATGGCCATATCTGCAAACCAGCCCTAGCTAGTCATAATCACTCCCCAAAGACCACATGGGCCTACACTGGCAGCTCTGAACTCCAAGACTACATATCTCCTCCATCTGCCTACCTAATTCCTGAACCTTAAGCCACATACCCAAAGAGTCTCAGTCCTATCAGGATTTAACTTCAGTTTATTAGACCTCATTCAGCTATAGACAGCATATGCACATAGCAGCATCCACTTGGTTTCATAATTTAAGGAGAGGTTTCTATTCATAATGATCTTTTTTACCAGCAGTTCAAGCTCACTCCTTACCAACATGCCTGTGGCTTTGGAGTACCAGACTGTTAATGCCTTTTATCAGCTACTCTCAGAATACAGTTTTGCTGTACATTCACGAGGGAAAAGCACGACTTCACCCTGTGGTTGCAATAGTGGTGTTTTAAAATGTATCCTCACTGGACAATAATGCACAAAAATGTCTTTGCAGAGCCATGTTTATCTGTAAAATGGGCCTATAGCAGATAAACATTTTTAGATCTTGCTCATGCTTGGGGACAACAAGTGCCTCCCATAATAATGGCAGGAGCTTGTCCACTAATGGGTTCTTCATATAATGCCTGCAGGGGCAGTATAAGCAGATTGAACCAATCCAACATATAACTGTCTAGCCCTGGCATCTTCCCCTTTTTCATTTCTTTAATTACCCCTTCTATTTTGCTCATTTGCAGAGAAGCCTGCAGTGCATCGATCTGGGCTGAAGCAAGCAATTTTCTAGAAAACGGCTGACAGAGAACTATCTTCAGGCTGCCTCTCTTTTTGTGTGTGTTCGTATTATAATAAATGGAAATGCTTTCTTAAAACATTGCTAGTAAATTTCACAAGCCCACTAAATAAAACATAATCGCTTACTGCTTTATGGGCCGGAACTCAGTTAAGTATCACAGTGCTGGTCAAATGTACAACCCCACACACTATTTTAGATACACATTGCTCTGATCAATGGGTTTAATTTCTTCCTTTAACATAACATCTTTCCTCTTGTGTGGCACTGACATATCACACCAAGTTTACATTTTCATCTTTGAGATATATCTCACTCCTTCAGTGACTTTATAACATGTTGCTAGGTAACAGCGCACACAAGTCAGGTTTCAAGACCCTTTGTTAAGAATCTATAAAATAGGCACATGGGCTTTTTTGCATGTAAAATGCACGTCTGGGTTCTTAGTATTCCTCTCTGCTAAACAGTAAAAAGTTACTGGCCCATTTTTGAATAAAAAACAGGTGTAAAGAATTAAGGTATATTCAGGCCTTCCTCTCCCTCCTCCAAATGTTTATTTTTGCCTCTCTCACAGCAGTCACTATCTCAATTATCATCTGTTCAAAAGAGGCAAAATCCAGTCTTTTGGCATATATTAAATTTAAATTATGGCATATATTTAAAGTGACATTAAACTAAAATGTTAGAACAGTAGAACAAACAGGTTACAGATAGGTTACATCTGTGGGGATGACTTTAAAAGATGTCAAAAATATTTTTAAATCCTCTCCCAAATCAGTAATAACTAAAAGTGTAGAAATATCACTTTTAAAAAGCTATCAATACCGTCCAGTGTTTTTGTCATTACGCAGGTTTACTCCAAGATGTACTTGGAGACTCACTCCTTGGTAAGAGTGTTTAGCATTGCAGCCTTGGAAATCTAATAGAAAGAACCTGTTTTCCCTCATTTTGAGCTTCTTAAAACTGTATTAATGCAGCTTCCTTTATTATCTATTTGCCTATATGAAATTTATTTCTATAGTACATTTGCAGATGTAGTCCCTGTAGTACAAGGATTTAGGGCAAATTTAGACAATAAACTGTTGCTTTTCCTTATTCCTCCAGCATCTGCGACAATGTAGGTGGCTACTGAATAAAGGACATTTGGTGGTGAGAATGAAAATGCCAAGATCATACCAAGAACTGTCAAGATCATGCTCCCCTGATACAAATTTATGGTGCTACCATATTTAGATTATTATGTACAATTCAGGTCACCACACTAAAAAGGATATTGTACAGTTGACAAAAGGCAACTAAAATGATCAAGGGACTGCAACAACTCCTCTGTGATTGTTTAGCTTAGAAAATATGTTGTATTTCCCTTAGCAAGAAAGGAAAAACATGGCAGAGATGTACAATATTATGCATGATATGGAGCAAGTGGATAGGGAAACATTTTTCTCCCTTTCTCAAAATACCAGTACCAAGAGTTATCCCATGAAGCTCATAGGTGGGAGATTCGGGATAGATAAAAGGATGTATCTATCTTCACACAACACATACTGAAAACTATGAAACACACTTCTACATGAGATAGTGATGGTCATCGATCTGAATGGCTTTAAACATGTTTTGGAAAAAGCCTAGAAGAGAAGGAAATTAAGAGCTGCTAGTCCCGAAAGCTAAATGCTTCCTCCAATATCAGTAAGCCTAGGTAAAACAGTTGTTAAAGAATGTGGGTGGTTAGGTACTGTTGCACTCATGTCCTGTGTGTGGGTTTTCCATGGCCAGCTGGCCACTGATGAACAGAAAGCTAGACTAGGTAGGCCCTTGGTCTGAACCAGAGCAGGTCTTCCCAGGTTCTTATGAGGCACCCTGATTATGGAATGCTTTCCCCGAAAGTCTTGCTTAGTACCTCCTCTGGTATTATTTTGGGGCAAAGCAAAGACCTTTTATTTCTCAGTTTTCAAGTCAAGCTGTTTTGTTTTCTACTAGCTGGGTGTTATCCTATTGACTGTACTGTTTTAGTTGATTTTGCCTTTTGTAGTTTGAAATAGGAATTTTCATGTCATGCTGGGAATGTATTGGATTTTGTCTGGCCAGGGCGGCTTATTTTATATTGGTATTTTTGTATTTTTAACTTAATGTTTATATTTTTTAATTTAAAGTTATAATTATTTTTTAACTTATTGTTGTAAGCCGCCCCGAGGCTTCGGCGAATGGGGCGGCATAAAAATGTTTTAATAAATAAATAAATATAAACTCTGATCAGAGCAAACCAAACAAAATGGGGGGGGGGGGGAATCTGTGGTTTATGCCAGGAGACTAGAAAGTGGCAAGGTGCTGGAAGGAAAGAATATATACCAGCTCCAGGGCTGGCATAGGAACAGAGAAAACTATCCTACACAGTCAGAACCTTGGTCTATCCAGCCCCATAGTATCAAAACCAATACCGATTCAGACAAAGGTCTTTCCTAGCCCTACCTGGAGATGGTAGAGATTGAATCTGTGGGCCTTCTGCATGCAATGCAGGTGCTCTACCATTGTTTCAAGGCCCATTCCCTCAACGAGGTTTAGAAGCATGTCTGGAAATAGGAGGGTTTCACACCCACTGGATCTAAAGCCTTCCTGGATCCCAAACCCTCCCCCACCCTACTTTTAAGGATGGATTTCCATTTCTGATGGTGGGCCTCCTACCCGGCAAGCAGGAAGATAGCATGCACCATGGAATGGTTCCTGCAACACCTTTCCAAAGACTATACAGTTGCACCCTAAAATAAAAAAAAATAAAAGGCAAGCTGAAGAATTACAATGCAAAGAGCTATTAATGCTCTGCTTAGCCTCTAACTCTACCACCAATGGCAATTTTTACTGAAATGCAATTCACATTCCATTGTATGGAAACAGGTGATCAATTGATTTCCATTTAAAACAGCCTTGCCAGTCTCCAAAGGTTGGAAGTGCTGCTTGTTAAATACACCAAGAAACGTCAATGTCATGCAGGACTGACCGGACTTGCTATAAACTTTCTATATAATCTTTTGAACATCATCAGCAGCAGACCTATCTACAGATTCAATCCCATCAGCAACACTGAATTTATTCTTCACAAACACTTATGTATTCTATAGGACAGCGGTGGACAAACTGAGGCTCACAAGCTGCACACAACTGTTTGAGTTTATTTTGTGGCTTGCAGGGTAGAAATAGCAGTACCAAGAGCAAGGAAGACTTTTTGAACTTTTTTTTAGACTCCTGGACTGCTCCAAGGTACATGTGTAGTATTGCAGCCTTAAAGGAGCTCAGAAGTTGCTTCTTAACAGGAGTGCGTTACTCTTACTTCCTAGAAGGTGCATGCATGCTACTATACAGAGGACAGGAACTAGAGTGCCTTAGCTATGCAACTAGAGAAAAACATAGATTTCAGATTTTTAAATTTTTATTGAATGTTTCTACTGTATGCTCTTCTTGCCTCCGTCACCAATGTCCAAGTGGCAAACCATAGTAACATATTTTTTGCATGTCTGAAGAGCATAAATATTTATGTAGAATGCACCCACAGAAGCTCTAATGCCTCAATTTTGAAGCCTGAAGAGCTCTTGAGATGGAAAAGAATGGCTGGAGCATAGAGAAAGTGGGGAGGAGGGTTCTGACTGAATTAATGGCAGCCACAGGTTGAGGTGGGGGAGTTAGGACTCCTGCCATCTTTATTCCCCCTGCCTCCTAGTGGCACAAGATACAAAGCAAGTGGGGAGGCTCCCTCCTCCACCTTGGTCCCTCTCCCCCCCCCTCAAATTTGATGCTTCCCTTCTTCTTCCTGGGGAGAGTGCTGCTGGGCCTGCTGTTCTCCCCCTTTTCTGTTTTATTTATTTATTAATTAAAAGTTTTTCTATCCCATCCCTTACAGAGCATCCCTCTTCTCACCCAGGTAGAAGTGTGAGTGCTTGGGCTTCAACTGAAAGCCAGGATTCCGGCCCCATTCGATGTTCAGGGACTGATGCTCCCCCCACCCCATACCTGGACCTCTGCTCCCACAGGTATGTAAGAGTACATGGTATGAGAATCCAAGGTTCAGGAGGACCCTGAGTTGTCACTGCAGAATAAGGAGAACATGAGGCCATTTAGGAAGTAAGGGAAGAAGCAAATGGGAGTTGGTTTCCTGTGGAGTCTTGGATGCCTGCTTAGAAGTAAGACTCATTGTGCCCCCTAGGATTTATTGCACTGTAAATGTGTGTTTTGGTTTTCAGCTGTTGGGGGGTTGGGGTTTAAAAGCCATGCTTACAGGGGAATAATTTCCATTTTACTCAGTTGCGCTGTGTGTCCTCAGAGGCAAAAATAAGATTGGGATCTGCAGTCAGGTCTATCTGCAGTCAAGGCTATCATCCACTGATAACAGTGTATGGCAGTCTTGACAATGTATCATCCAGATTTTCAACGACTCACAGCCAGGATGGAGACTCACAGGACCTCTGCTAGCAGTAACTAGGCTGAAAATGGTAGCAAAGTCTGTTTGGTCATGATAGATAAATAAATAATGAATGAATGAATATTTGTCCATGTCTTGCATCTCTCCAACATCTGAGATTTACTGTATGTGGCTCTTCTGTTGAGCAAGGCTGGCCACCCCTGCTCTAGGAACTGAATTTTGATTGAAAAAAGGGAGGAGGCTAAACACCCAGTAAGGGAAGGTTTGGGTTTTTGCATTCTTTTTCTGACACAAACTATTAAGCTAAGATAGCCACAAGATGACAAATCTTTGTTTTTAAATGCGGCAAAAGGTAGAACTGGAATAGATTCTGCACCTCATGGAGCAGGAAAATCATGGTATGGGGCATCCCACTGCTAGTACCATGTCAAACTGGGCATAAACTTTAGTGATTTACCTGCCTGCTGTTGTGGTTCCACAAGATTTGACCTCAGTACAGCTGCATAGCTAATGCACAACAAACACAGATGTTCTTTTAAATGCTTGGATAGGAATCTGGAATCACATACTTTATTGGTTTCCAGGATAGCTGTGCTAGTCTGTTTCACAAAAAAATCAGTGAAGGCTCTTGCCATACCCTAGAGACTAATGCAATAGTTATGAAATAAGTTTAAATGGACGAAAGCTGCTTCCAGACAAATGGATCCACAAGCTGCCTGTTAAAATATATTCTGCAGCTATCCTGTCTTTTCCACCTTAACAAGTTTTTCTTCCTTTTTTCTTTTCTTTTTTTGGTTGGTTGGTTGGTTTTTAGTATTGTTTTGGAAAGAAAAATGAGGAAGAAGTTTCAGGGAAACATGGAAGGTTACAAATTGAAAAGAACAAAATCTGGTTACCCTAACATTGTGGAGCAGACACGCCCAAGGAATTTAGCCTTTCTGAAGTGTTATGCAGAATGATCTGGTCCACATTTCTTCAACTAATGTGAAGCCTGGAACTTAGCTACCCACTAGATTTTGCACTTCTCTGAATGTTATGACATAGTTTTGGCAGTTTAAGGCAACTTCATGATGAAAGACTTGTCCGTATAATATATACATTTTGTTCAATTCCACATATATTTCAAGATGACTGGGCATGCAGCAACTTAAGGTTTTAAGAAGAGGAAAAACTGCCCCAGGGATGCATGAGGAATTTAATTTTTCTGAACTCCTAAACAGAACAATCTAATCCACAGTTGTCAAACTAGTGTGAAGACTTAGTGATCCACTGGACTTTGCAGTTCGTTGAAAGTAACGGCAGTTTTTGGTAGTTTAAATGTATCAAACTTTGCATTTAAATGTATATTCTGGGAGGAAGTAACATTTAAATATGTAATTTGATACATATTTAAATGTGCATTGTAAGGATTTAAAAAATACATAATAGAATTGAATTATGATTAAAAACATGAGAAAGTGATATGGACCAGGAATAGACAATTTCAGCCACCCTTACCTGAAAGCTTCATGAGAAAATCTGAAGCCATTTTAACAGAGATGTCCTGGCTGAAAAGCGCTGATGCTGTATTGGTCACAAAGTCAATGGAGTCTTTTAGCTTTGCATTGTTGCCAATTCTGTCAACAACACTGAGAGCAAAGGATGGGGCAGATACACTGTTGTCATCTTTGGGCTCTTGTTTTACTAGCAGCGGTGGGATGGCAGCTCCTGTCTGTCCAGTTGCCTCAGGTGATGTAGAGGCAGCTGTGGTCCCCAAATGATCAGTTCCCCCATCTATCTGCTGCCTCATTCTGGAGTTGTCGTTGAGCAGCGGCAACACCTTGACATCCATTTCTGGGATCTCTTCCTTCACTTTGGCTTCTGTCCTCAGGAAGTGTTGATGGCAACGCATGTGGAGTTTCAGGCTGAAGTGGCGAGAGGAGGTAAATGGGCATAGCTGGCACTGAAACGTCTCTCCTCGGTCCTGGTGTTGGTGAACCTGATGAAGTGTTAATCAACCTGATCATCAGTATTCCAGAGCAAGTATTATACATCTATTCTACTGGCTCCCTTCCTGCCCTTTCTCCTTAGTCCCTATAGGGTTCTTTACATCTCGTCTGCAGATCTCAGTGAACTTAACAAGGGAGGTCAGTATTATGAGCTCAAAATGGCTCTCACTCTATGTGCGAGAATTTAATGATGAATATTTTACTATATGGATCTTTGTTCTGAGGTCACTAGTTTAAAGTCCCAGAATTATTCAACAGCAGGGTACAAAGCACATTGCTTCTCAGCTTCATTCCTAAAGCATCTATTTCCTGAAACATTTATCTTGTTTGTGCCAATGAATCAGTCCCTATGAACCAGCCTTAATATGCTACAGTGAATAAAATACTAAGATCTCTATTTACTTGGAAGTAAATTCCATTTTTTCTCAGCTTTTTTGCTCTTTTTCTTCAGTTAAGTATCCTGCTGGATGCTGACTAGAGTGTGGAAACTCACCAACTTAATGCAGCCATCTTTCTAAATGACATAGTTGGGGATGGGTTGACATTTTTGCAAGTCCAACATCTACTCTGGTTCTTAGGAAACAGAGGGGCATACAAGTGGTGTGCAAAGTCCATCACTGCAACCTGGGGCATTTGCTTGTGACTTAAAGCAATCATCCTCAGACACATCCTGAAGATGTGTCAAACTACAATTGCTATCAACCCCAGCCAGCATAGCTAAAGTTGGCTGGAAATGATGTGAGCTCTAGTCTGCCATGGGTACCAAGTTATGGAAGGATATTTCAACATACATAACTTTGATTGAGCATCCTGGATCATTTTCTACTACCCTCACCTGCCTATACAAGTTAGACTGCCTTGTCATACTGGAACCTTCTCAAGACAGGGCTTGTGCAGATGAGAGATCTTGGTTTCTTTGAGTCATTTAAATCAGTCTGTGCCTTGTATTGTGGGCAGCTCTGCAGTGGTGTACCTTTAACATGCCTGTTCTCCACCTGTGTTAGGATATGAATAATTACATTTTCACCTTACATTTATACAGGCAGTCCCTGGGGTACAAACAAGCTCTGTTCCTGAGAAAATGGAAACTCATCCTTAAGTCAAATTTGTATTTAAGTATTTGTATTTAAGATCATGTATAGTTGACCTTCCACATTCATGGGGGTTAGGGATGTAGAACCCCTGTGAAAGTGGAAAAACCACAAATATCTCTACTCCCGCCCACCCCGTGCCAAACTTCTAGGGCATTCTCTTTGCAAAAAGGAAATGCCAGAGAGATGTCCCTCTCCAGATGGGCAGGGCTGGAAGTCAGGCTTTGGAGGCCTCTCTCTCTACCCTTTCACTTCTTCTCTATGTTGGTGCTTTGGAGGCTGCCCCTCATTCTGGTCCTGCTTTCGCTCTTTCTATGTGATGACAATTTCCTGCAGTAGGCCTTTAGCTTGCAAATTTAAGTTAATAGGCGTTATGGCAGTTCATTCATAAGAATGGGTTGTTGAATTACAGATGTTTGTAACCTGGGGACTGTCTGTAAAGTATGTTTCTATAAATCACCCTTCCCCAAATATGCTGCTATAAATCAGCTTTCCTTCAGATATGTCATAAATAATCCCATCATCCCTACATGATGGCTATGTCAATTGTGGATGACAGGAGCTATCTGGAGGACTATAGCATAGGAAAGGCTGCCATATATGGGTAAAGGTAAAGGTTTTCCCATGACATTAAAGTCCAGTTATGTCTCACCCTTGGGGGCGGTGCTCATCTCCATTTCTTAGCCAAGGGAACCACTGTTTGTCCACAGTTTCCATCGTCATGTGGCCAGTATGACTAAAAACTGAGGTGCACGGAACACTGTTACCTTCCCACCGAAGTGGTACCTTTTTATCTACTTGCATTTATATGCTTTCAAACTGCAAGGTTGGCAGGAGCTGGGACAAAGCAAGGGAGCTCACCCTGTCATGCAGATTCAAACTGTCAACCTTTCCTATCAACCAGTCCAGCAGTCTAAACCACTGAACTACCCGCAGTCCCCATATATGGGTAGTTACATGTAATAACTACACAGGAGGGTGGTACTGATAGGTGTATTAGCAATGATTTCTGACTCCTAATTGCTTAATAATAGCAGCACTAATTGTACCCATCCTCCCCGGCTAAATTATTGTGCTGTAATGAAGAAAGTTTGGAATTATGTGTGAAAGCACTATTAGCATCTTTCAATTCTAGTACTCAAAGCGAATTCCTGGGTTCAGAATTCTGTAATTCTCAGTGTACATCTTTTGCACACACTGGTAGATCTTAGTGTATCTCTTCTGCATACACTGGTGGAGCTCAAGAGTTTAGTAAGAAGAAAAGTAGATGCTGCAGGTCTGAGGTTTATCCACCCATAAACTAGACATATCCCTTCTGTTTTAGCAGAGAAGCCCACATCTTACAAAAGCCCACACTTCACAGGGGACTGCTGTCTGAAAAATGACACACCTTAGCTACATGCGTACAGTGCTTTGTATACAAAACAAATGGGCTCACTGGATGGTGGCCAAAAGTTGGCAAGTATTTGTTATATTAAGCAAGATGGTTATTCCTTTCAGTGTCCAAACTTGCTCAACAGAATGAATTCACAACCATGATGCTACTAATAATGAGAACTATGTTGGATTTTAAATCCCCAGCAACAGCCTTATGGACTACATTTCTTCACTGCCAGTATTCACTGACCTTACCTTCATGTGTGATTTGAGATTGTCCTTGCGTGCACAGCGAAATGGACACAAAGGGCACTGATGACTTTTTAAGCCAGTATGAATCACCATGTGTCGCTTCCAGTAGCTCTTCCTTTTTATAACCAGGCCACAAATTGGACACTGGAAAGGTTTACCCCCTTCTTCTTCTGAGGCTTGGAATAAGAAGCAACAAAAATAAAACAAAATAAAATAAAAAATATTTCATTAAGTTGTGCAGGGCTTTTCCTCATCTAAACATACAATATATATATATTTCAATGTCAGTATTTGTTCTGCAGAAACACCCTGTGGATATTTTTGTTCCATGCTTTTGTGCGATTTCTTTAGGTACCGAACTTTCAGACTTTAACTCTACAGTTCCCTGGAATGGGTTTCCAATGGGACTAATGCAAGTGATGCCAAAGATAACAGAAGAGTGTCCCAATGATACTATGGACAACCAGCAGAGGATGCTACTGTGCTTTACCTAGCCTTATAAATATCATCCTGCAGCTAATTTTCCTGCTCTTGACCTATGTAATATAAAGAAAGTGCTCAACTCATACCTTCTTTCATTTTAGTTACCGAACTATGCCAAGGAAATGAAAACGATTAAGTACACAGTAATCGCCATTCTTGAACAAAAGTCATGCTAGAATTATGAATGTGGCACACTCCAGTTTTAATACTGAGAGCTTTCCAAGTCCCTGCTGTTGGGCTGATTTCACTCTGGCTCAAGAAGACCACCACTGTCACTTCAGATACAAGGGCATCTTTGAGGTCGTTTCTTAGTTTCTCATTAACTCAACTCAATGTTTTGTCAGTGCGTTAAATCTGAGGGCTTAATTTTATCCAAAGGCAGCACAATATAGCTTTTGAGAATCTGTGTTCATTGTATTCATTTAAGTTGTTGTTTTTTTTAAACAGTGATTTCAGTACACTTGAAGAAAGCTGAATCTGGCATTGCTTACTCAAAGGAGACAGTCTTTCTGACATTTTCCCTATAAATTAGGGATGGGGAAGAAATTTGTTTTATTTGCATTTTAATGTGAACCAACCTAGTTCACATTTTTTGAACTACTGCATGAAACAGAATGCAATTATGCTTCAGTTTTCACACTTCTCTATTTTTTTTTCAATACCTTTCTCTGATACAGCAATGGAAAAACCACACACAAAATTGCATACCTTAGGAGAAATTTGGTCAAAAAACTGGATATAGTGGGGAAATTGCATACAAAAATTCATATGAGTTTCCATGCACCCTCTAATAAACACATTTAGAAACAGATGAGGAAACAGGATGAAACAAAGTTCTGCTTGAAAAAGGTCAAATGTTGTAGAAACTGAAACAGACATTATTTTCTTATTATATTTATATCCTGCCCTCTCTATTTCTGCTTTATGGATGCAGGTTGGAACTTTTGCAACCTGCATGGGTCTTTTCAATCTTATTCCATCAAGGGTCTTTTTGCCTGATGGAATAAGGCCTGCCAGAGGAGGACTCCTTCTGCTAAAAAAGTATTAGCACCTTCAGAGCCAAACTTAAATATTCTGTTCAGAATACAGAATCTACTAATTCTCATAGCTGGCCCTCTCACAACAGAGCACATCATCTCCTTTAGCTAAATTGTTTGGTCATAAAACTTTTAGTGATTTGCCTTCTAAATCAGATATTCGTTTTAGCAATGTCATTGCCACCAATGCTCACCCTTTTTAATCTTGAATCATTTTTGTATGGTTGTTTGTTTTTTGCATTTACTGCTATCTAGAGAGAAAAGTGGCTTTGAACATGTACAGAACAAATAAACCTCAAATCTTTTAGTAAACAGAATTCAAATATTAGCCCAACTAATGCCAAGCCATGATTTGTCATTATAAACTTGGGCACACCCAAGCCATGAGCTCATGCCTCCCCTTTCTTCCTACTGCACATATGAGGTAAAGACAAAGCTTCTGATCACTGTACATAACAAACAGCAGTTTCCCATTTCATCTAAACATAGGGAACTCTAGTTTCAACTATCCAGTCAGTTAACAAACCTTGGACGATCCTTGTTTGGTATCCTGGTTTGCTAATTAATTGTGGTTAGCGTAAAAGCAATTTTCCATTGTAGTTTGTTGCAAATCATGACTGGAAGTTGTATTTCTTCCCTGGCATAAAAAAGGACAGCCTGTGCCTGTCCAAAAGCTCACAGCTCCTTGTCCTTGTAATTAGAAACCATAATCTGTCACTGTGTCTAAAGTGGACCATGTGATTTCTAACCATACTTGTGCTCCAACACCTCACAAATTAAGCCAGTTCATGTATAACTGTAAACATTGGTTCAACATTATGAGGAAAGCTGCAAGTACTTCCACACCTTTCTTTCCTCTCCTGCTCTAGAATAACCTTGAGATCAGAAGCTTTAACTGCATTTTAGTGTGCTGTCTGAACCCTAAATTGTGTTCAATCTTAACTATGGCTAGTGTTAATCAGCCAGTTTCATAAACCACAGTTTGAAATTGGCTAGCTGTCCCCAACCATATTTAAGATTCACCATAATTTTTCAGGTTGAATTTCACAAGAAGCCATGATCATAAAAACAGAAGTGAAATCTTCTGAAGTCCTCCTCATATCTCTTTCAGAAAAGTATATGTGGGGGGGGGGTTCAGTTTCACTGCTACACCTTCATTCTCAAGGCATTAAACTATGATTTCACATTTATATCCAAACAAATTCATGAAGTGCTGCTTTTACAAATGTAACTGTCAACTTTGTTGAAACGAATGCTTCCAAGGCAAGCTTGTTGAAAATGCATCATTTTATGGGATAATTATTGGCTTACAATTTAGCCACTAAGAAGAGATGATTTTGCCCAATAAGTTGACACAATCAGCCATCTGACATTATACTGCAAATACCTACTCCTGTTATGAGAAAGTTTACAGTGTTACCGAGGAAACAGAAAATATTTTTGTGACTGCTGAAAGAATATCTGATTATTTTCAAAACTGCATAAAGCAGTGGCATATTTCTTGCAATATTTGGGAATTACTTTCAGAATATTATACTTCTCTGCCTAATATCTTCATCAGCTGCCTTCAGTCTGTAAGAAGTCAAATGCCAATACATCCTGTAACTGGGAATGCAGTGATTAAACCTCATGATCTTCTAATTTCCTCTGCATACTACCTTGTAAAGGACACAGTATGATTCATCTGACTTTGCTTGGGCACTATTAGAGGGATCATGTATGCTTGATCTTTTAAAATAAATTGATAAATAAATAATGCTGCATCCAAGTGTGCCACACTAAAGCAAGTGAGTATATAAATTCAGGAAGCAGATCTGCATATGTATCTTTATTTCTGCAACTCATGGAGGAGTCAACTGCTACAATATAAGGTCTTACCCCTTAATCATAGGAAATGCTGCTCAATGGACAAACTTGTTTGTAAAATTTCACACTTTCAAGTGTATTCTACCAGACATTGCCTATACAGGTTCAAGTGTATTTTCATATCCTTGAAGTTAGGCTTTTCAAGATGCTGAATTCTACATTTAATATGAAACATACTGCACAGCAGCACAATTTAAGCATACAAACAACTCCACTTATTAACTTAATAAATAAGTCACAGGCAGGAAAACACACAACAATTTTAAATGCCCATGCTTGGCTTTTCCACTTTGTGCATGACAGATTTCTTCCATCAATCATCAACAGAAACCAATACCAGATTTCTTCAAAAAATGGTAGAAAAGCAAGCTGTTCTCCTTGCCTCCTGTTTCATACTATTCCAGACATGTTTGGAACCCTCTTTCCTCTCTCTGTTCACTGGAACACCTTCTCTCTTTTTTTAAGCCTGTCACTGTCTGTAATTTGCTGCTTTTCTGAGGACATCCCTATCCTCAATACACCTCTATCTCCATTGCTAAATAATTCTTCCCTATGCATTCCCACTTCTGATAGGTGAATGTTTGATCTTTCCCTTCATGCCAGTCTTGTCTATTCACAATTCAATATTCTGAAGCTATTTAGAGTTAGGGACTGCAAGTATACTTCGTTTTACTCCACTCTGCAGTTATTGCACTTCCAGGCTGTGACCCTGTGTCCAGCACACACATTTATCAGAGCCATTATTCCAACAGGGGTCACTCATTTCATGTCTCGGTCTCATGTTTTGGTAATGTAATTATCACAATTCTGTTCTGTATTTCAAACTTTTTCATTATTTACGGTGTATTTGTTATGGTTTTCCGTGATCTTGTAATTGTTTTGGGGTGTTTTGACTGCTCCACCGATTGGCCACTCCTCCCTGGCTCTCCCTCTCCTCGGGCTTCCTTATTCCCTGACATACAACAGTATATATGCAAATTAGGCCAATTACTGTAATAGCCTTACAATGGCACCTAAGTGTTCAAGTGAGAGGAAGCTAGAAATGATTAAGCTTAGTGAGGAAGGTATGTGGAATACTGAGACAGGCTGAAAGCTAAGCTTCTTGTCCCAAACAGTCAGCCAACAGTATAACTATACCTGACCCGAGTTATTGCTATATTCGAATTACTGTGGTCGTCTGGAACTGAACCCACAATATCTGAGCCATGCCTGAATGTTGTTTCTATCTACTGTACAATGCCAAGCACGCATTACTGGTGCTAAATAAATGTGAAATAGTAACAGAAATAGCAGCAATAATAACAGTAGTTGATTAGTAGTGAATTTTCTAGTTGTTTGGATGGGATCAGTCCAGAATGCTAACTCTTCTAATATAAAGCTGTACACTAGAAGAGGTGTGATAGGGATGTCAAAAGCAAAACCCAGCTACTCAGTTTGCTTGCTTTTTTATTTTTTCTTATGTCACTTCAGTCAATCTTCATATTTACTCAGAAGTAAGTCCACTGTGTTCTACTATCTAGTACGTGCAGCAGTAGAGTGATTACAGAGTTCTGGTCATTCTCAGTTTCTTGTCTGTTGCTGGGCAAACCCAATTAAAAGAGGCACTTCACAAGTTGGATGTCATTGTAGTTCCTGCGTAAGATCATGGTAATTTGTGCTATTATACAGCCTAAGACTCCAATCACTTACTTGGGAGGAGGTTCTGTTGATGTTATTAGGACCTACTGCTGAATAAACATTCATTGGATCTGACTGTATTACTACAAATTGCTTTTTAAAGAACAGGGTTA